TGGTAGCACTGATTGCATTTTTTGCCCAAATTAGTGATCCGAAAATTGGTGGCACTTATATGACATTATTAAATACAGTTAACAATCTAGGTCTTAATCTATCATCAACAATTACTTTGTTTGTCGCTCAATATTTAACATGGAAAACGTGCACTGATGGTCAGTCTTGCAACAAGAAAGAAGATGAAAACTTGTGCACTGTAGCTGGTAAGAAATGTCAAATAACAACTAGTCCTTATTATATTGAAGTTTTGGTTTGTTCGCTACTTGGAGCCCTATGGTTATTAATATGCTATCGTACAGTGATTCGCTTACAATATCTACCAAGAGACAAATGGCATCTGACACCAAAACCTGCTCAACCATCAGCCAGTAGTGAAGAAAGCGATGACATTTTAGCGGCTGACAATCATGAACAAAGTTTATCTAGATGAAACTAAGTTTTATGTTTTTTGTTTTTAGAAAAAAGAGTTGACATTTCTGTTCGACAATCCGAGGTATTATTGTTAAGAAAAATGCGTTAAATCCTTCTGCGTCGAGGGGAACCGTATAAGCATCCAATGGCTAGATTGGGTCGATTACATTGACTCCCTTTTTTCGTGTATGCGTTTCAACATTTTTTATTCACGAAATAATAGTAAAAAAAAGGTACGACAACAAAAGAAACACATATACGACAAATCGGGATACCCCATTCTATGCCAGATTCTACATGAATACTATAAAATAAAATGAGTATATAAAGAAGAGAGATTGTAGTAGTGTTGGTGAAGAGAGAAAGAGAGAAATGGGAATCGACTTCTAAGACCCACTCTATCCATGTGACATTCAACTCATGGAGGCTTAGTACATCATAACTGATTAAATCTTCCGGTGGTATCAATAAAGTGAATGATGGCTGTGTACACTGGTATTAGATCTTGCTTAGGCAGTACTCGGATAGATTCATGTTTCAAAAGTATATGCTCCAACGTAATATGGTTATCTTTAAGGACAATACGCAGCTCGTCAAACATTAGATTACGAGACTTGTCATAAAGGGCAGAGTCCATGAAAAAGTGTTTATTTCTCTCTTTTCCCCACAAAAGTGTGAATTCAGAAAAGCTCTGCTTTGCTTTGCTATGTGCACCATCAAACAATTTCTAAACAGAGACTGCACAGAGACAGCTCAAACCTCACTTTTAACTACATTTTTCTGCTTTTCTTCGTTTTCTTATTTTGAGCTGAAAATAACCGTGTG